TGCAATAAGCAATGCTTGCTCTTTTCTGAGCTCTGCCCTTCAAGATATTGTACAGTCTTTTGAGTATGGCTTTGGGCAAATTCTTCAACTTTTCTGATCTTCAGTTTCCTCATCTGTAAAGTAGGGATCCCAATGAAAGAAAATGCGTATGAAGTTCTTAGCACAGGGCCTTGCACATGTGTTAAGAAATGTTGAGTATGTACCAGACACCATTCAAGACACTAGAGAAGGAAGCAAATAAAATCTCCATCCTATGGAAGTCACATTCTAGTGGATACCTTGTAACTACTCAAAATTGTAATATTATACTAATTGTAATTTTTTTCAAAGTTCTGTTTGGGAGACAGCAGAAATGAACATGGTTGTGAAGAACATGAAACAAAAAGTTATTAAAACAATTTCCACCCAAACCTGGCTAATTGGATTAGAAGATATGCATTTCTTCCAAAGGTGTGTGAGGATTTGGTGAAGAAATAAAGGTCCTTCTACCACTGCCCAAATCTCTGATTTGATGGAAGACTGGCAGGCTGCACTGGAGTCCCAGAATGGTTCTGCAACAAACCCCAATTTTCTAAGGTCTAGAACTGGAGGACTGAGGTGGCACCTGGATCCTGCATTATCCTATGTGTCTAGTCAATTTTCCTGCCCGCCTGGTTCTATTTGAGTCATCTGAGTTTTATTTTGATTCAATTTCTTTGCCGGCTGCTAACAAACATCATCTCCTCCTACTCTTTTCAGGCAAGAACAGGACTGGAAAGACAAAAGTCTTTCTCCAGAGCAAAAGTCCTGGAGTGGGAGACAATCTCTCCCTGATGGTTCCCAAGGAGGAAACATGCAGGAGCAACTGAGCCCTGCTTTCGGGTTGTCTCTGCTACCGATAACTAGTGGAGGCGGGCCCTCTCTTCCCTCTCTTACTGTGCCTGTGAGTGCCATCTAGAAATGTTTACAACTCTTGCCCGACCAGCTGTCTGCCACCTTCCCTCCTCTCCTCCCACTTTAGCTCGTACTTCACTTCCCCTTGACCATGCCTCTGGTTTTTCCTGTGTTCTGCCTCTACCACGATGAGCCCTGATAGTATCAGGGGTTCCTAGAACTTCAGACCAGCCTCCAGCTTTCTCAGATGAGGAAACAGGTCAAGAGGGGGGAAATAACTAATCCAAAGTCACACTGCTTCATTCATTTATTCACTCAACTAGGAACACACCCTACCCTTTAAGATTTAGCTTAGCCCTGGCTGGTGTGGCTCGGTTGGAGCATTGTCTGGAACACCAAAAGGTTGGGGGTTCTATTCCTGGTCAGGACACATACCTAGTTTCAGGGTTAGACTCCTGGTCAGCGTGCATATGGGAGGCAACCAATAGCTGTTTCTCACATTGATGTTTCTCTTTCTCCCCACCTTCTCTAACATCAATAAACACTTTTTTTAAAAAAGATTTAGCTTAAATGCCACCACATTGGAGAAACGTCCTCTGACTTCTTTATCTAAAGCATATGCTGCCCCCCATTTTTCTCTGTTTCTTTCCCTTAGCTTTTTATCCTTTATCACAATTTGTAATTGTTTCATTTTTTAACCTTTTTGTTTTTGGTCTGACTCCTCTACTAGAGTATTAGCTCCATGAGGGCAAGAGGGGCATGTTTGTTCTTCAGAGACATGCTCATCACTGTGTTCTCAGATCCAGCACATTGATAGATGTTCAAGAAATCTTTGCTGAATTAATGCACAGTGAACAAGTAGCATCAAGGCACCTGGGGATGTGAAAATGGATGAGATGCAGTCCCTGCTTTCAGAACTGTCTTGTATGAGCATCAGAACCAGAAAACAGGGAGCGCAATGAGATCAGGTCCAGATTGGGGGTGGTGAAGGGGTGTTTTGGGGGCACCTAAAACAGGCCTAGGTTACCAACCACCAAGAACCGGGGACAAACCATTTGGCTGTGACTCAGGCCTGTTCCCTGAGCAGCCCAGCAGCAGCAGGGGCTGACGGCTCATCTGCTAGAAAGCGTGCTCAGACGGCACCTGGACCCATTACTCTTTCCAGTGAGGGAGCGTTTGCTAGTCAGTTTTGCTAGTTGGTGGCCAACTCCACAGTCAAGGCCCCAGAGAGCCCCACACCTTCTAGCTAGTTCCAATCTTTGGCCTGGTCGTCTGCTTCAGGAGAGAACTTGTGCAGCACTAAGGAAGGTGACACTTGCCTAGTCTTTGGGATTAGTGGGGTGATAGATGTCCCAGCTAGGTAGCCTTCACATCCAGAGGGCAGAAGGGTTGTCCCACATGGCTCAGAGAAAGCTAGTGCCTCAGAGAGCAAGTGGATGACCTGCCTTCCTGTTCTGGACTATAAAAGGAACCCAGAGGAGGAGGAGGAGGAAGGCAAACAGTGGGACTCCCTTTGAAGAGAAAGAGTCCAAGGCCCTGCTGGCTCTCCTGGGAGAGCAGCTCACCCCTCAGTCCCATCTCCCTACAGTGGGGCAAGATGGCAGCTGCTGCTGCTGCTGCTGGTTCTCAAAGTTCCCAGCAAGCGATAAAACCTCTTCTTTCCTCCTCTCCCCCTTCCAGATTCATCTTTCCACCTGCCAGGAGCCAAAAAGGTAGACTCAGGTCCCTGGCAGCCTGAACTCTGTCCAGATTGGAAGCTTCACAGCTGTATGCTGAGCCGCCTCCGCCTCCACCTGCTTCCAGGGCTGGCTTGTCAGGGCTTAGCCAGGGTCCTCCAGAGCCTCGCGCACCATTCCCTTCCTGCAACCAGTCTGACCAAAATGACTCAGTAACACCTTGAGTGTCACAGCAGTTTTAGCTCTGATCCCCATTCTTCCACCATGGTCGCATGGGTTGGGAATTATCTCCAAATTTATTCAGAGAGGTTAAGTAACTTGCCCAAGGTCACACAGTGAGAAAGTGGCCAAACAAAGAAACCAACCCCCCCCCCGCGCCCCCCCCCCCGGACAAACTTGCATCTCCTGCTCAGCAGTTCGGCAGGTGCTCAAATTATCTATGTGGAAAGGGTGAAATCTGTTGTTTCTTCATTTTGCTGGCCTGTGGATGTTTCTGTGTGCTGGGGGAAGGGGATTGTGTGTGTGGAAGGAAAGCTGTCCCCTTCCTTACTGAACCTTTGACCTCCTTAGTTCACTTTCTCTTCCGAAGTAGTTACTGGTTTAATTCTCATGTCTCCGACTGGACTCTGTGGTGTGTATCTATTGTCAGAGCAATGCCCAACAGCAATGAAGAGTAGGTCTAATATTTTCCTTCCCAGAAGAGCAAAGTCCAAAAAAAAAAAAAAAAAATCCAAATAAATAACCTCACTTTCACCCAAAATGTACAGCCCCGAAGCAAATCTCAAACCAGCACCTGACCCCTGGCATGGTCCGCAGAGGCCCCCAACACACAGCACCCCAAGCCACGCCACACTGCGTTAGGGAGGCGTCGGGGAGGGGGGCCCCCCGAGCACGGGTCCGGCGCGGCGGGGAGCCAGTGGGCGGCGGGCGCGCTGCCAGGCCGGGCCGCACCGCGGGGGCCGGCCGCCCCTCGCCACGTGGTGGTGGCAGCGGCGGGGTCCGGGGCGCCTTCCCAGCTGGAGAAACCCGGAGCAGCCGGAGAGGAGGAGGCGGCGGCGGCGGCGGCGGAGGAGGAGGAGCGGGGCGGGAGGGAGGGAGGGAGGGGGGCTGGGGGGAGGGGTGGGGGGTGGGGAGAGACCCGGCGGCGGCGACAGGGCGAGAGCAGAGCGCGGTGCCAGGGGGGTGGGGGCACCGGTGCCCGTCTGGGGAGGGAGCAGGCGGAGGGGATAAGCTGCGATTACAAGCAGGAACCGGCGGCAGCTGTGAGTCCCCGGCGGGGCTGATCGGGGGAGGGGAGCGGCGCCCGGGGCCGGCCCCCCCGGGGTCGCGGCGAGGGGGGGCGGGGAGAGGGTGGCGGGAGGTTGGCGGGCAGTTGGCCCAGGTTGGCGGAGAGCGGAAGGGTCCGGCGTCCGCCACCCGCATCCTCCCCTTTCGCCCTGATCCGCTGCTCCTCAGGCCGCACCGCCTCCGGAGCCCCTTCCCTGTCTCGGGGATGGGGGACCCGGGGCCCGGACAGCAGCGGGGGAGGGGGCTGTATGGTCTCAGCCTCCGAGAGGGGAGGGGCGACAATTTCTGTCGGCAGAGCTGAAGGGGTTTAAAGGGCGGCTCTTAAAGGGGCCGCAGAAGGGGTCCGGGGCCGAGAAGGCACCCCCTCCCCATCCGCCCTCTGTAGCTCTCACGCGGGGCGGCTGAGCGGAGGGGAGAATGCAGAGGAAGGAAACAGTTATCGGGGCGGCCCAAGGGACTGAGTCCCCGCTAGTGAGGTTGGGCCCGAGGGGGCAGGCAGGGGGTCTGGGGTAGGGGAGTGTGGTGACAGCTGGCCAGCGGAGCTGGGGGGAGGGGATGGGCCTGGGAGGAAGGGGTTAAAGGTGGGGCCAGCCCTACAAACAGGCGCACACACTCCTTACTCAGACACGGTCACACGCGTTTCCCTGTCACTTAATGCCGGGCGGCGGGCGGGGGGGGGGTGGGCAGGAACGGGGCTGGGCCTGCGCCCGTTCCATCCCAGGTTCTGCTGCCCGGCTTTGGGAGGTCGCGGACCCCACTGTCTCAACTCACACCTCAGGAGCCCCCTCTCCTACGCACACGCGGGCTCCGGCGCGCGCATACACCTCGGACATTCCCATAGTGCCTCACGTGACCCACGGCCCCAAACGTGCCCACCCTTCACACACGCTCACGCACGCGTGCACACACACGCACACACAAACACACGGCCACTTCCCAACTCCATTCCGACCCCCACCCGCAGCCCCGCTAGGACACTCATTCACTGTGACACACCTACACTCATTCACAGACACACACATTCCCCCACACATGCCAACCACAGGCACATTCATAAACAGGGCCAGGAGAAGTACACACGCACCCCCTTGCCTAGCCTACACTTTCGGGAGCCCTGAGTCATTCCTGCCCCTTCTGAGGGCTCCCGTTTCTCTGTGTGCAGGCCCACAGGGAGACCTTGGAAATTCTTTGGCAGCCCTCTTCACCTGGGCCTTGGCCCCCTCCCAGAGGCCCCTTCCCCTCTGTGCACTCTCTGACACTCTGCATGGACTTTTCCTGCGTGTCCCAGGTCAGGGGTGAGGAGGGCCTGGAGGGCGGCTACAGCCCCAGTGTGAGTGGGGGAGGTATTTCCTTTTCCTGAACTCTGGGATCCGGCAGGAGGAAGCTGGGAAGTTGGGCGGGGGCCCAGCAGAGGATGTGCTGACAGTGCTGGGGCCGACCCTCCCAGAGCACTGAGCCTTCCTTAGGGAGGAGCCAGGGGTGCCAGAGACCCAGGATGAGGAGCTTGGCAGAGAGGTATTTGGGGAAGTAAGGCCTGGGGTGGAGAAGAGGCTGAGGAGGGAGTCAAGGCAGGCCCCCCTCTGGGCCCCATGCTGGCAAGGCAGCTCTCTCCTGCCCACTGGATTCCCGAAGGAGCCCTTCCCTGCTGCTAGCCTGGCTTACTTGTCCCACCTTGTCACGCCTCCATCCCCAAGTGTTCACCTGGTCCCAGCCCGTTGCAGAGTAGAGAAGATGGGCTTGGTAGTCTGGGAGGGGGCTGTGGGAGACCATGGGGTGGGGCCAGGCTGCATCTCAGCTGGCCGCAGGGCTCCTTGGGCCAGGACTGGGGGAATCAGGGGACAAGCTTCAGGCTGTCGTCTCCTGCTCTCCCAGGAGGCCCAGGGGGTGCTGCAGCCCAGGCCCTTGCCATGGAGTCCATGTTTGAGGATGATATCAGCATCCTGACTCAGGAAGCTTTGGGCCCCAGTGAGGTGTGGCTGGACGCTCCTGGAGACCCCTCACTGGGGGGAGACATGTGCTCCGCCTCCCACTTTGCCCTCATCACAGCCTACGGAGACATCAAGGAGCGGCTGGGGGGCCTGGAGAGGGAGAATGCCACCCTCCGCCATCGCCTCAAAGTCTATGAGATCAAGGTCAGAACCTGGAAATATTGGGGGTCTGGCTGTGTGGGGGGGGCAGGGGAGGCTGCTGAGTGTCAGAAACTGGGGATTCAGCAGAGATTCCGGGGATCCACAAGAGGGGTCAGGGTATAGAGTCTTGAAGCTTGAGGGCCCCCTATGAGGGGTGGCTGTTCTGGATGGAAACTGGAGAGGTCAGCGCCAATTAGGAAGAGATCAGGAGGGACCCACTTTGGAATGCCGGGATCTGGGATCTAAAAAAGGTCTGGTGAGTGGAAGATGCCTACAGGCCCATGGGAATTTGAATGTATAGATCCCACTAGAGGAGAGACTCCGAGGCAGGTTTTAGGGGTGGAGGCACAATGAGGAGACTGAAGCCTGGGCAGAGAACCAGGCACCAGCTCTCCTGAGGGCCTGCCCCACCGTCCACAGTATCCGCTGATCAATGACTTTGGAGAGGAGCATGGCTTCTCGCTGTATGAAATCAAGGATGGCTCCCTGTTGGAGGTGGAGAAGGTCAGCTTACAGCAACGTCTCAACCAGTTCCAACATGAGGTGAGCCCCTTGCAGGCTTCTCAGCCTTCCCTATGCTCGCTCCAATCAATTTCTGACACCTCCCCTATCCACCAGCCTCTGGCCTTCTGTCCCCTGGATCAGAGATGACCATGGTCCTCCCTAGAGTTGGCTGCCGCTCCTTGCACCCCTTTACTGGGCATTGGGGGTAGGGTGCAAGGCACAGGGAGCTGCTCAGCCCCAAAGTCCTTGATGGGCTTGACTGGCGTGCACTCCACTCCTCTGGGCCCCATCCAGTTGCAGAAGAACAAGGAGCAGGAAGAACAGCTCAGGGAGATGATCCAGGCTTACGAGAAACTCTGCGTGGAGAAGAGCGACCTGGAGACAGAGCTGGGGGAGATGGTGAGGCCCAGGGAGCTGGGTGCTGGAGAGTGTGACCCAGGGTGTGTGTCACCCTGTGTGTGTGCTTGTGGAGTACACCCTGCTGTGTTTGTGTGTCTCTGTGAGTTCCCATTTGGCCTTGTGAGTGGGGCTGTGTGTCGAATAGGTTGTGACTGTGTACATCCTGATAATGCAGTATAATGCAGCGACAGAGGTGACTTTGTGAGTGACCCTGCAGAACATTGTGTTTCTTTGTATGTTTGGGTCCTGCTGGGCCCTCCCTCCGCCTGCAGCTCTGCTCCTGGAAGGCTTTGTATGTGAGGCCAAAGGTGACCAGAAGTGTCTGTGGTTGCTGGGACGGGTCCTGGCACATGAGCGATTATGGGTCGGGGTATGGCTGTTCCCGTGAGCAAGCGAGCAGGCGTCAGAATCAGGAGACGTGGTCTCTGCTGACTCCTAGCTGTCACCTGGGTCAAGTCACTTAGCCTCCATTTCTCCTCTGAAAAGTGGGGCAAATAACTTCACTGAGCTGTTGCGGGCATTAGTGTAAAAATGCTTTGCTTTAATAGTCAAACACACTTACACGGTGCTTGCTCTGTGCCAGGCACCGTTCTTATCTCTTCGGATACAGTTACTCATTTTCATCCTCATAACAAACCTGAGAGGTAGTTGTGGTTATCCCCTATGTACAGATGAGGTAGATGAAGACAGAGTGGTTGTCACATACAGTGATGGAAGTTACCGTGCTCCTGAGATGGTATCGAGACAGGGGGCTGAATGTTCTTGTAAGTGTCCCTGTGTGTTGGTGACATGGAAGAGGTATTAACCCTGCCCTTGCAAGGGGCAGTAGCCAGAAACACCTGCATTGCAGTTGCTGGGAGAGGAGACCTTGAACTCGTGGCCACTCGGAGGGTGGAATTGGGATGCGTGACCTGGGGCTTATGCTCAGTGTGGGGGTGATGGCTATTCAGACATGGCAAAGCCCTAGATTTAGGGAGCTACAAGGACGCCTTGGACCTGTGCAGACCCTCACCTCTTGGTTTCCTTCCACAGCGGGCCTTGGTGGAGACCCACCTGCGGCAGATCTGTGGTTTGGAGCAGCAGCTGCGGCAGCAACAAGGCCTCCGGGACACAGCCTTCTCCAGCCTGAGCCCCCCGCCCGCCTCTGCCCCGCCCTGTGCTGATCTGGATGTGCACTACTTGGCGCTGAGAGGGGGATCTGGCTCGAGTCACGGTGAGACCTCGGCGACCCCTGCTCTCCCTACCGCAAACTCCCCAAGCCAAACCCCCATTTCAACACCTTTGGACACAGGTAGTCAACATCCCATTACAATGCTTTAAATTTCCTCACCATCTGTTCACTCACCTCACCCACTATTACCCCAATTTCTGCCGCTGACATCTTCCTCTCAACTCCTGCAACCCCGGCTACCCCCATGCAATTCCCATAGATGCCAGCAGAGGGCACCCCAACCCAGAGTCCCCTGCCTGTCTTAGGCCGTGACTAGGCGAGGCTCCTGAAGATGCTCAGAGACTTGAGTCTGGCCAGGGAAACCCTACAAGAAGCCATTTTTCCCTGGTCTCCAGGAAGATTTAAAAAAAAAGCAGCTTAACTCCTCCTTCCTCACTGTCCTCAGTAGAGGTATCTCTCATCCTGGGGTATCTGTCCTCCAGCTGTCTCTCTTGAATCCCTCACGCTGCAGTCCTCAGCTTTCACTTTGTGCTGCTCCTGGAGTCCGTGGAGGTGCCCAGCAGCTAGACTCAGCCTGACATTGTCCTCTCCCCTGCCCGCAGGCTGGCCAGGCCCCACGCCGCTGAGTGTGAGTGAGCTGGAGCGGAGGCGCCTGGAAGAGGCTCTGGAGGCTGCTCAGGGAGAAGCCCGCGGGGCTCAGCTTCGGGAGGAGCAGCTCCAAGCCGAGTGCGAACGGCTACAGGGGGAACTGAAGCAGCTGCAGGAGACCCGGGCCCAGGTTAGTGACACAGGGTACGGACCCCGGGCCCTTGCTCTGGCACCTCCACAGCTCTGTGGAGCTCTGGGGGCAGCAGCGAATAGCATTTAGAGGTTTAAGACTTCTTCACCAGGCGGGGGCAGCCGGGCCCTGGTAGAGAAGGGGGGTCCAGGCCAAGTGAGGCTGGCTTCTGACCTCTCCATTTTCTCTCTTAGGACTTGGCCTCCAACCAGTCAGAGCGGGAGATGGCGTGGGTGAAAAGAGTTGGAGATGACCAGTAAGTCACCCTCTTTACCTCTGTACCCCTGGGGTGGTATTTCCCGGGCCCCCTTTGGTTGGCTGTTCCCTTTGGTGCTGTTTGGGAGACCTCTCTTCCAAGCTCTCAGAACTGTGGGGTTTGGGTTGCTTGTGTGGCTCAGCATCATTCACAGGAAGGAGGTGAGGTTCTGGGGGTGTGCAGATTCTGGGAGGTTCCCTTTGCTTTCCTCTGGTACCCAAGCCTGTGTCTCCTCAAGGTGTCAGGGTTTCAGAGAGGCTTCCTCAGAGACTCTGCTGCTCTGTTGTGTACCCCCTGGTGAGTTTTGGGGCCTCCCTGGGGCCACATTTTTTGTCCCAGTAACAAGGCCCAGGCAGTGGAGTTCACCCTCCCCTCCCTGATGAAGGGGAAGGAGGTGGCCTCTTTCAGGATTTGTGGTGCCTCATCTACCTCAGGAGAGAGAAAGCAGAGGCTTAGGGTTGGAGAGACTTCCTTGAGGGGAATTAGAACATACTCTGCCGGGGTGTCCCTCGGGAATCCTGCGGGAAAGAGGGGAAGGAGGAAGTAGAGCAGGATCTATGTCAGCGAGGAGTCTAATGACAGGGGCTTCTGTGGCAGCCCTGGGCAGCAAGGGAGAGGGTGCATGGCAGCCTGGTAGCAGCAAGCCTGATGCCTTTCACATCCGCAACAAGCTCATTCTCTCCCACTTTCTGAGAAATAGAGCGCAAACCTCCTTCCGCCTAGCCCTCTCCCCTGAGATGGGTGTGTGGCGCAGACTCCCTACTTTCACGGGAGGGGAAGACCAAGGCCCAGAGGGGAGCAGGAGCTTGCCTTCCTCCTCGCCTTCCTCCCAGCTTCTGGCCCATTGAGGATACTCCTCGCCTCCCTCTGCCCCCTGGGTTGAGCGACTGGGTGGAGCTCTGATAGCGGAGGGTGAGAACCCAGCTTGTGGGGCCTCTGGGTGGGACCCCTTAGCTAGGCTGCTTTGGGGCATTGGGGGCCTCTGTGGAGAGGGTCCACCCTGGCTTGCGGCTGGGGCTCAGAGCCCAGCCTCATCTGTGTGCCCAGACCTGGAACACACATACACACATGCTCTAGAATCTTAATTTGCCTCAAAAGTCACACTGCAGGGCTCTTTATGTGTCACTGAGTCCAACCCCTCCTAGAAGACCAACTGTGAAGACTCCCCCAGGTGGCTGGCTGAGCCCCGAGCGAGGACAGGGATTGTGGCAGGGCTGGAGGTGAACAGCCAGACTTTGAATCCAGGGATGCTGGGTTCCTGAGTGGCTTCGCTTGACTGACTGCACTTCTCTGGCCCCAGGTTTTTCTCATCAGGGGTCAGTCGTTGCTGAGAGATGTGAGAGGAAGGCGATGAGGGGTGGGGGCAGGGAGGACTGGTGGGTTCCAAGGGGCAGGGGCTGTGAGTGTGTGAAAGAGAACCCCTCCCATAAGGTGCTTTTGGAGGTCAGATCCTCCCTCCTGCTATTCTGGCCAGAATAGACCCTTTCCCTTCCCCTCCCAAGGCCTCCCCCCGTCCCCTTGGCCACGGGGATGAGCTGGTCTTACTCCCTTACCTCCTGGCTCCTTCCCGCTGTCCCAGGGGTTAGACACAGCCTCAGGACCTCCTGGACCTCTGTCCCTGGAGCCAGCCCGGCCCTGCCCGCCCAGCCTCACCCTTCCTTTCAGGTTGAGTATCTGTGGACAGCCCCAGCTTGGCAAGAGTTAACTCTCAGAGGAAATCCTCACTCCCCCGGTAGTTTTATTTTCTTATAAACTCAGCTCGTTTTGGTAATAGTCCGCTTCCCGGTGCTCAGTGCTCGCTCCCCTGGCCTCCCACCTGAGAGGCCTCAGTCACCTGCTGTCGGTTCACTTTCCCCCACGGGCCCCTCCCCTTCTTTCTATTTCTGCCAGACCCTCCAGGCGGGTGGGAATGTCACATGTGGGTTTACCCAGAAGAGGAATGCAGGGGCTGGACTATCCAGGTGGGGGTGCCAAAGCTAAAGGGGGGGCCACAGAAAGGTCGATGTTTAGCCTACTCCTCTGTGGGAATCTCCTGTGTCCCCCAAAAGGTTCTCACTTGGGACATCTCCAGGGCAGCCAGTTGTATTGCAGGAGTCCTGGGTATTAAAATAGCCCCCCGCCCCCACTACTCCTGCCTCTGTTAACTCTCCGCCATGGGTCCCCCCTGTGCTGAGGCCTGGGCGGCAGCCCCAGCCCAAAGTTTTCCCAGGTCCTCCCATCCCAGCCCCTGGTCTACAAGCTCTGGTCCGCAGTGTTCCCCTGAAGATGGGCACCCAGACCAGACCAGACCAGGCCAGACCAGACTGCCACCCTCCAGGTCAGGCCTCTGGGCGTGATTTCTCTGCCCTTTAGTTAGCCCCGCACCCAGTGGCCCGCGACCAGGGGAACAAATTGCCCCAGAGGAAGAGCTTTAGCGGGGTCACTCAGAGAGGCCAAAGGCAATGATGAGAGAGAGGAGGCAGGACAGGAGACCACTGTTCCAGAAGATGCACTGGGAGGAAAGGACCCCAGGAGGGTCCCAGAGGAGGTGGGAGGTGCAGAACCCACAGCTCCCGTCCCTCTGGGCCCATCGCAGAGCGCCTTTCAGAGGGTGTGACCAGTGCTGGGGGTGGAGGGGAAATTGTGGAGAGGGGGCTCCCTCAGGGGTCTGAGGGCTCTGAGTGGGCAGGACTCGGGAGGGGAATGAGGGCTCAGTGAAGGAGGGGGCTCATCCGTGAGGGGTCTACCATGAGAAGACATGGGGCTCAGTGTAAGTGTGAGGGGGAAAACTATAGATCTTTCTTTTTCCCCAACGTGGGGGGCTCAGCATTGCAGCCTGGGCCCTTTTCCGCCCACCCCCAACACCCCTCTCTCCGCCCACAAGCCTCTGCGTGGGCTGCGGTTAGTGGTGGGGGAGAAGTGTGAACTCCGAGAGAGAGGATGGAAACTCTGCACAGAGGTCAAGGGCAGTGTGGGGTGGGTCAGGACGGAAGTCGGAGACCCCCATGTACCCTGAGCTGAGCCTCATGCCCCAGAAGCAGCCGGCCCAAGGCCTCCCCCTTCACGCTTCTCACCCTCCCTACTTCCTTTCTTTCAAGTCTCCTTCAGCCAGGGCACCCAGCAGCGCGCACAGGAGTTAACCCCTGAACACTCGCAGCCTTGGGAGCTCCCCGTGGGTGGGGAGGGGCTCTGAAGTTGAGGCCCACCACTCCCACCTCATTGTGGTCTGAGGGATTGGTTGACTTTGAACCGGTGTCTGGCCATTTCCCTGCCAGGAAGGCAGAGAGCAGCTCTTACCACATTCTCTCCCTCCATGGGAAACTCTACATCCTCCCCTCAGTTTTCAAGCAAAGTTACTGAGCTGGTGTCTCCAAAAAAAGGATCAAAATGGTTTCCCCTTCCCCACCTATCCCCAAGGTACTCCCCCTTCCTTCATCTGCACCAGACATTCTGCGAGGCAATTTACCTACAAAATCTCATTTAATTCTCTCTCTCTCTCTCTCTCTCTCTCTCTCTCTCTCACACACGCGCATGCACACACACACACACACACACAATCATGATAAAGGTATTATCCCTTTTTATGGCTGAGCACACCGAGGTACAAAGAAGTTGAATAATCAGAGAAATTAAGTGCAAATACCAAGCAGGTCCTGAGCAAATGGGGCGTTTTTCTTGTTCGGGTTCTTCAGATTGGAGGCCCTATGGAGGGGTGACCAAATGATTTGTCGACTGGACCTGATCACTTTTGAAAGTGAAAGGGGGCACTATTAATAATTATGCTGGGGCAGCTAGGGTGAACCATGGCAGTCCTGGGCAAAGTGGGATGTGTGGCCCCCTCATTTCCCCGGGGACTCTGCGAGCCGCTCAGTTTGGTCGCATAGAGGAGCCTGTCTAGACACAGCGAACATCTGGCTGTGCTGGAAGCATGGCAGGGCTGCCATGAAGAGCCCGGCTCTGTGGACCGCAAGTCGTATCTGGTCGAGGAGCGTGAAGGGGCTCAAGGCGCCTGAAAGGAAGTGGTGGAGCACTGGGTTGTTGCAAAGCGACTTCCTCCTCCCCTGGCCCGCAACCTCAAGTCCGCTCTATACGGCCTGTTGCCTGTGGTCCCCTCCCTGAGGGTCGGGTGGGAAGACTGATGATGGGTGTGCCTGTGGGTGGCGGAAAGTTTGGTCCCTAAATTCACCCACAGGGGTGAGGTGGCTGGGGGCAACTATGGGCAAGGACCGAGGGGTTAGGAACGCTGGACTTCTATTTTCCTCCTGATTCTGAGTCAGTTGCTGATTCTGATCACATGGCTCGCTCGATTCTGACCCCAGTCCTAACCCTAATATGGATCCCATTCCTGACTAACCCTATCCCTCATCTGGACCTCTGTCCACAATCCTGTCTGAAAATGAACTGTCAGCCCCAGCCCTAACCTGACCCTCGCCCCAGCCTTAACTCTGGCCTCATGCCCATCCCTAGCTCCAATCCATGATCCAACGCTGGCCTGAATTCCAACCCTGCCACGTCTCACTGCCGCCCCAGTGCAGCACCGGGCGCCCAGAGGGCTGCCCTGGGGAGGACTCTGCACTCAGAAGCCCATGCATCTCCCAGCTAGTTTTGGGCAGAAGGAGGCCTTTTATAGAGGAGGACACTCAAGTCTCTAGCCTTTCTCACCTGGGTAGCTTTATCAAGAACAGAGAAGATTATTATTTCCAGATGAATTTTTGAGATCCCTGAGTTACTCGTGGAAAGAATGAATGAAAGGATAAGTCAATGAAGGGTGGAAAGAGTTGCAGCAGAGGCTGCCCTTCTTCCTGCCAGCTCTGCCATTTGCACGCTGGCTCCTCTGAAGGCGCCAGCTCAGCAGGCAGAGGTGCCAAGAGCATGTTTAAATCCCTGCTCTGTGTCACCACTGCTTTGTGACCTTGGGCCAGCCTCTTCCTAGCTCTGACTTTCCACTTGCACAGATGTCTAGCACCTTACCAGGGCAGCAGTGGTGGTGGTCAGGGCCCCCGACCACTTTGGTGGTCCTCTGCCTCTTCCCCCTCCTCATCTTTCCCTTCTGCAGCCTTCCCAGCGCTCCTTCCCCCAGCTGTGTGGGTCCTTTCGGAAGGCAGGCTATAGCTGTGAGGTCAGTAGCCTGGACTTTGGAGCTCCCATTCCAGCAACTCCGTTACTGCCAGGCTTTATGACTTTCGTCAAGGACTAAAGGTCTGGAAACCTCCATTTTCTCACCTGTAGAATGGAGATAATAGTGCCAACACTGTAAGGTTGTTGTGACTATTAAGTGAAGTTCTTAGCATAATGCCTGGCCTGTGAGGAGTGCTCATACAGATTATCTGTGATTCTTTTCTTCCTGGGCCCCTCCCAGGTTCTCAGAGACTCTGAACCTTCCCCCAATAAAGAAGCACCCGAACGCAGCCAGCTGTTGCCATTCACCTGACCCAACTTTCCCGAGCAGTCTCGATAGTGGAAAATAGCGCTCAGGTGTGGGCCAGGAAGCCAGGAAACGGAACGTGCACTCAGGTGCATGTGTATGACTCTTGGTTGTGCTGTGAAGTTGAGATTTTTTTCCACTGCATTGGCAGTGTTTTCTAATGTGAGTCATTCAGGTCGCTAGTGTATTTCGCAGCCTGGGCCTGTGCATCTGGAGGTAGGGAGAGACACCCAAATAAGGGGGAGGTCCCATGGGTCATGGGGCATCAGGAGGCTGGGTCCCACCATCTGGCCAGGTCTCAGAGGTCTCTATGAAGGCTGCCTGGGGTTCCGGCACGACGGTCCGCCTGCCCCAGGCGCCTGCCTTCCATTTCCTGCTGCCCTGCCTGTTTTGTTGCGAGGAGGGTGCCAGGAGCTGGGCAGTGGGAGCTGGACTAGCCTCTGGCAGGGGAGGAAGGCGAGCGGGGAGAGACACGGGCCTGGGACCTGAGTGTGGCAGGTGAGATCTCCGAGGCGGGGTGTGAAGGCAACAACCTTTATCTGTCACCTGAGGTACGGCAGTGACTGCGAGTGGGGAGAGGAGCTGTGGCTGCTTGGTCAGAGGAGGGCACGCAATACCAGCGCCCTGCCCGGAACACCCCCCGCGCCCTCCCCACCCCTGAGGGGCTGGCACGGTCCTTCGAAAGCCCCCAGTCTGATGGGAGAGACACAGATCCTGCCCTTACATTGTCCCAGGTCTGAAGGGGGTCGCCTTCCACTGGGGAGTCCCCAGTGTAATGCGGACACAGAGACCAGCCCTCCAGTCTGAGGGGGAGATGCATTTTCCCCACAGGCCCATGAAATGAGTGTGGGTGGACACGGGACGCATTTAGCGACACAGGGGCTGAGGTGCGATGGGATCGAGGGCTGCAGCCCCTCAGCAAGGGTTTCTGAGAAGACCTTCCTTTCTCTCCGCCCCATCCGCCTCCGCCCATCGTCAGGTGGGTAGTGGGCACTCTCCCTCCCGAAGAAGGCGACTTGTCCCCCAGAAGCCCAGCCTGTTTGCAATAATTTGGCTTTGGCCCAAGTGGGTTAAAAATAGTTTTGTTGTGGGAAGGGCCATTGTCTCCCCCACCACCCAGCTCTGCCTGAGGATTAGTGAGAGAGCCAGCCAGCGAGTGCAGAGCGAGAGCGAGGGCGCTCAGTCATCTACCCTCTGCACCTAGGCTTTTCCTGCGCTCTGAAGCCCTAACCTCAGGACTTCCCCTCCTCTCCTGTGGGGTCAGACACACACACACACACACACACACACACACACACTCGCACACTCGCCCTCCCACCATGCCTCACCACCCCGGCCTCACACTTACCCTCACTCCTTCCCATCCACATACATCCTCTCTTGCACGCCCATGACTATGGGACACGGGCAGGGCCCCTGCAGGGTCTGGACGATGCCCCACCTCGTTCCTGCTTATGGACCTACAGCTCCTGGGGCTGAAGGGCCTCCCCTGGGGGGAGATCCATCTGGAGAGGCTGAGCCTCTGCCGGCCACTCCCCTCCAGCTCCAATTTTCACAAAGTTCCAGAGTCCCTTCTGGACTTAGCGAGGCCGAGCGATGCAAGTAAACCAAAGCCCCTGCCTCCCAGGCTCTGTCCAAGCAGAACAGAACAGAACAGAACAGAAGGCAGGGACCCAGAGCCATGGCAGAGCCTCAGGTGCGGTCAGGGAGGTCTCTCTGGCCGTGAGCAGGCCAGGGCAGGGGACAGAGGAGGGGCCGTCTGGAGAGTGATAACCTTCAGAGGCTTTGGGTCAGAGAGCCCTAAAGAGAGAGAAGGATGACAGGAAGTAGGTGAAGTCTTTGCCAGCTCAGAGTCGGTTCCAGCTTTGTGAGGGTGGGTGTGCGGGAGATCTGAACAGGAAGTGGGGGAAGAAAGAGAAGAAGAAAGAAAAATGGATGGAGAGGCTGAATTCAACATCTGCTGGGTAGCAGGCCCTGGACATAATGCTAGGAAGGTGGTGATAAAATCTCCACTTTCAAGGAATTCCCAGTGAAGCTCCATATAATCTCCTGAGAGGTACAGGCTGAAAGGAGCTCAGAGGCAGCTTTGAGATGGAAGCAAGGGCATTGGACCTGGAACTGGGCAGACGTGGGTTCCAGTTTATCAGCCTGTAACCTGGGAACCACTGCCCTAGCCCCAGGTACGGTTCACTGGGAGGAGAGGGTGTCTTCCTGGAGGAAGTGGCATTTAAGGTAAACCTCAAAGCCCACGAGGACTTCTGGAGGGGAGGAGAGGGCTGGATGCGGGGGCAGTGCCAGCTCTTGCTCCATAGCATGACAGTGAACCCACTTCCTTTCTCTTCCCTGCCCCCTGCCCTCTGACCTCAGGATCAGAGCAGGCTGGCGGGACTGGGCAGGATGCAGCCATAACCTGGGGGACTGGGGTGTCCTTCAGGGTGAATTTGGCGCTGGCTTACACGGAGCTGACAGAGGAACTGGGCCGGCTCAGGGAGCTGAGTTCTCTGCAGGGGAGGATCTTGAGGACCCTGCTGCAAGAGCAGGCCAGGGGAGGAGGTGAGATGGGGCCACCAGGGCTGGGCCTGAGGCTGGGGGAGCACTGGCTACCATCCTGTGTCCTGGGGCCACCGTCCGCTTCCTTTCCCCTTGCCTGATCCTTTTTCACGGGTTGGGAGGAGAGTGGGTGGGGTTTGGTTGCAGGCAAGCCCCTCGCTCTCAGTTCTGACATCTCCCCCCACGGCTGTCCCTTGACCTGGTCCCACTTCTCTTCCAGGCCAGAGGCACTCGCCTCTCTCACAGCGCCACTCCCCGGCCCCCCAGTGCCCCTCGCCATCCCCACCCGCCCGAGCGGCGCCCCCATGTCCCCCGTGCCAGTCCCCGGTCCCCCAGCGCCGCTCCCCCGGGCCCCCGTGCCCCTCGCCCCAGCAGCGCCGCTCGCCCGCCTCGCCCTCCTGCCCATCGCCTGTCCCGCAGCGCCGATCGCCGGTGCCGCTGCCGCCGTGCCAGTCCCCCAGCCCACAGCGCCGCTCCCCGGGGCCCCCAGCCTGCCCGGCCCCGCAGCCCCGGCCGCCGCCGCCCCTCCCACCGCCAGGGGAGAGGTCGCTGGCGGAGCGCGCCTATGCCAAGCCGCCCAGCCACCACGCGAAGGCCGGCTTCCAGGGCCGGCGCAGCTATTCAGAGCTGGCCGAGGGCGCGGGCTACGCGGGCGCCTCTCCGTCCTGGCTGCAGGCCGAGGCGGCCACGCTGCCCAAACCACGGGCCTATGGCGCGGCCGAGCTCTATGGCCCTGGCAGGCCGCTCAGCCCACGGCGCGCCTTCGAGGGCATCCGCCTGCGCTTCGAGAAGCAGCCGTCAGAGGAGGAGGAGTGGTCCGTGCCTCCCAGCCCGTCCAGCCCCGAGGCGGGCACCATCCGCTGCGCCTCGTTCTGCGCCGGCTTCCCCATCCCGGAGTCGCCCGCAGCCACGGCCTATGCCCACGCCGAGCACGCACAGTCCTGGCCGTCCATCAACGTGAGTGCCCCCCGCCATGGGTGACAGAGACCTGAAAGCCCCACCCTCACTTCACACCTGATGGGCTGAGCTCCCTTCCTTTGTCGCCTCCCCCTGGCTTCCCTAGGGCCTAGGTAGTGTAGGTCCTTTTGCACTGCTAAAACTTGTTCAGGGCATGGTCGTCAGAACCACAGTCCTGCCTTTGATTCCAGACTCCACTGCTTAGTAGCCACCAGGATTTGGACAAGTTACTTATCCTCCCAGATCCTAAGTTTCCTCATCTGCACAGTGAGGACAAGCATTACGCTGTCTGACGTCATTGGAGGGTTCTTGGGAGGGTGAGCCTGCAGCGCTCTGTGCAGGGCCTGCGAGGGGTGCTCGGCAGGAGCATCTGCTCTTCACTGGTGATGGAGGCCAAGCTGGCCCTGGGGGTCCTGGGCGACCGGGGGACAGGCCTTCTGGTCCACTTCCCTCCGTCAGGCCTCAGAGCCCCTGTTCCTTTCTGTCTGCCTTAGAAGACAACCCTACCTCGGGGCTCTATCATTTCACTGAAATAATGAGTTTCCTGAATGTCAGATCCAACCCTTGTCACCTGGAAGGACCAAAATATATTCCAGAGCCAGGCAGAATATTATTTTTGGGTTGTACATTGTTTGGGATTATCCACCGCTTTGCATTATCTGGCAACGCTGTCTTAGCCACGCCGGGGGCACGCCTGGGCCTTGGCTCTGCTCGTGGCTGCAGAGGTCCTGGCGGGCTGGGCGCACGTACTGCCTCACACACACTCCTGTGGGCCCCACGCCCTGGGCTGGGGGGCAGATGCTGAACCGGTGGAAAGTGGGCAAGGGCGGGGAGGAGGGGGTGGCGCTGGACGAAGGGCGCCCAGAACCCTTCTGCGTGCTGCGGCCCTCCCTGCCCTGGGTCCCAGGGAAAGGCGGGCTGGGGCGTGGGGGCCATGAAGGAGGGTTGGGGACCATAAGTGACTTTCGTCTCTCCCCACAGCTGCTGATGGAGACAGTGGGCTCTGACATTCGCAGCTGCCCCCTCTGCCAGCTGGGTTTCCCTGTTGGGTACCCAGACGATGCCCTCATCAAACACATTGACTCCCACTTGGAGAACAGCAAGATCTAGGGGGCCTCTCCCACCCGCTGGCTGTTTCTCTGCCCTCTCCCATCACCCCCAAGCACTCACTCACTTTGAATGCTGCATGAATCTCGTGGGGGGCCCCTGCCCCTTGCGACCCCCAGATACCTCCACTAGCTACTGAGTCAACAAGTCAACGTGTGTGCTGTCTTCCCTGGTCTGGGCACCACGCAGTCCTGGCTCTTCCCAGGAGGTCAGTCGAGGCTCTCCCCAGCTCCCTGGCTTCCAATGGGAGGTGGGGATCGGGGCTGGGGCCGCGAGGGGAGCGCCTCACCCAGCCTCTCCCTCTGCCTTTCTGTTCTCAAACACAGTTGGATCCAAGGAGGTATCTAGTGCTTGGGCCTGGGGTAGAGGGAGGGTATCGGAGGACCCCAGGAGCTCCCCCAGCCCCTCCCCAGATGTCCGTCTTTCTCAGGCTGGGCTCTGCCCAAGGAACGTCTCCCAGTGGGGTTCCAGAGCCCGCCCTGCGCACGATGCCAGTTCGTCCGCCCCGTGGCCAGCTCAGGGCGTGTGGCGTGGGCCCCCACAGCGGGGAAGGAGGCATCTCGATTCTTGCCATTCTCTGCAGGCCGCCCCGTTCACCTGCTCCGCCCACTCTGGGGGACAGGGAGGGTGGGAGAGGAGAGGGAGGACCCTGGAGGACTGGAAGGACACAGCCTAAAGAGGCTGCCCTATGGGCCAGGAGTCCCTGCACATGACCCTCAGGCCAGGGGACTCCCTGTGCCGACCTCCTAGGCCCGTGCCCGCCCCCGGAGCCCCCAGCACTGAGGCACAGCTTGTTATGGCAGTCGCTCCCCTTCCCCCACTGGAGCCCCTGACACCAACAGGTACCCTGCAGCCCGTGTGTGACTCAGCCTCTGTTAGCTGGGTGGGTGTCATCAGCCCTGCCTCCCAGGCCAGAACCTGAGGATGGGCCCAGGGTGCTGTGGAGATCAAATTCAAAAGAGCTAACCCCCTTCCCACACCCCAGTGACCCACATTCCCTCTGTGAAATCTACCTCAGAGTCGTACCCTCAGAAGGATGGGTAAACAGGAGGCCAGGGGGTCCCGGGGCTGAGGTGGGAGCTTCCTACAGCAAGAGCCTGCCACCCACGATGAACCCACTCCTCCCCCCCACTGCCAGCCTCTCCTGGGTCTCAAGCCAGGACGGGTGGCAGTGGACGCTATTGTCAGCGCATGTACCATTCGATCCAACTCTTCCAGGCCCCCCACCTCCTCACATGCCTCCTCCTCAGCGCAAGGGAGTGAAGGGGCGTGTTGGGGGGAAGGGGCCAAGGACTCCAGAGACACGTGGCATTGTACCTTGAATGTTCCCCCCAGGAGGGGAAATGGGGAAAGGGGAATGCAGAGGGGAGGTGGGGCCCCTCAGCCCCCTGAACAAGTTGAAAGTCCAAATAAAACTTACCTGTTCCATCTGCGCTCAGTCTGTGCCCTCCATGGCAGGGGTGGGGAGAGAACGCTTGGTGGCCAGAGGTCTTGAAAACTGTCTCAGGGATACACCCCCATGGGGGAGCAGTCAGTGGGCAAGTGGGAGGTGCACAGGGCACCCACGCCCCAAGGCGATTCTGGCAATGTAAGCACGCAGGTAGCCATAGATGACTCCTGACGAGTTTATTTAGGACAGGTATGGAGCCGCAGAGGGTATCTTCACGACCAAGCAGCCACCCAGCCCTGAGCAGGTGTCAGGGACTCTAGAATTTTCCCGCCTCACTGGTCTGGCAGGTGGAGGTTCTGAAGCCCTCCCTGGGGGTTCATTTCTTAGTAGCAGCTATTTCTTCATCTAATGATTTCTGCATTCCAGGAACCAGGGTGGGGCCTCAGAGAGAAAGGATATTCGTGTTCCATATCCTCATGGGTCTGAGAGCAGGGGAGGGGCTGGGCCCCAGGCTCAGCAGCTGCTTCAGAAGTCTCACAGCCTGGGAGGTCAGAGCCAGGTCATGAACCCTTGACTCCTGCCCCAGCCAGGGCTGCCCTCTGTCTGCAAAAAGGGCCCGAGGTACTTATGCATCAACTCTGGGTGTCTTTAACTTCCACGTGGCCCTTTTACCATTAAAAACAAAAGGCGGGGGTAATTGCTAATTGAAAGCCTGAGGTCCGGTTCCAGACCCGGGGTGAACATTCTTCCTCATTCAGCGTCAAGGCCCAGATCCTCATGGAGAGATTTTCCAGTCCCCCTTGCTCTGCTAAAACATCATCCAGCCTTGATTCCATCTGTGGCCAAGTACCGAGTGCCAGAAAAGGTGAGAACAGCTGTCCCTGTGGAATGTGGCTTCACAAGCCATGGGGAAGATGGTTCTAGCTCCTGGCACATGGACGCTCAGTGCCCCTCGGTGCTCCCCCATCTCAGTCAAATCCCATGGAGGAAAGCAGCATCCAGGTTTTGGGTCTGGGTCCTGTTTGGGTCTCTGAAGCATTTGCTAGAAGGGCATTAATGAATTGGAGGTCATACCGGGACACTAGGCAAAGAGAAATCCTAGCCATTGAGGAAAAGGGCAAAGGGTGACTTGGGAACGAGCAGGAGGCGGGGCATGACACAGCCAACCACTTCTGATCCTTGAGCGTGTCTGCAGGGGGGACAGAACCCAGCGCTTCCCCGCAACCTGGACACCCCCGCCCCCAGTCATCGGGTGAGACGTAAAGTGTAGATTCTGGCAGCTCATCCCCTTGATTTCTGGGGGCCTGGAAAAGGGCTCAAGCTCAGGGCAGAAAGCTGCTGGGGCGGGGAGGGAAGGTAGGGAAGGAAGGAAGGAGAGACAGTATGTCCCCAGCCCAGGCCCTCCAGAACCATAACCTTTCATTTAATGCTCTTCCCCCACCAAAGGCGAGGCTGTGGGGAGGGGGGAGGGGCTGCAAGACAGGCTGGGGAGTCCTGCCAACACATCCCTCTCTTCCCAAGCAGGGCTGTGATCAGATGGAAGGACACTGGCTCCTCATTTCTCTGTAGGACTAATGTTGGGGGACAAATGGGTCTAGATCTCTAGGTTCCTGGAAAGGCAAGGAGGGTGGGACAACTTTCACAGGAGCAAAGTGGTGGGGAGGCCCCCTGTTGAGGCAGAAGATATACTTGGTGTTGTGGGGGGACCCACTCACGCCCACCAGCACAGACCCAGAGCCAGCCATGGGGGACGGTAGAGTGGGGCAGGGGCTGGGAGACTTCACAGAGACCAGGCCATGCAGGGTTTGCCTCCAAGTGCCCCGTGGAAGGCCGACAGCCAACATTCCCTCCAGCCCCAGCCCCTCTGCCCTCAGTCTCTCCTTCAACCACCAGCCTCCCCTCAGGCCTCCTGGCCTCATCTTTGAGGACCCTACAGCTCTTCCCCTCTCCCCCAGGACTCCCTCAGCCAGAGCCACCCTGGAGACCCCTGCCCCCTTCCCGGGCCCTGTGCAGGCCATGTCAGGCGATCAGCTGATGGGAGCAACAGCTCCTTTCAGAGGTTGGTGGTGTGTGTGTGTGTTGTGTGTGTGTGTTGTGTGTGTGTGTGTGTGTGTGTGTAGAAGCTGATCGCTAACAAAAGGGAGGGGTGTGTGAGTGAGTCAGCGTGTTAATGAGAAACACCTCACCCCGCTGATTAGGACTAATGAGGAAGAACAGAGGGGGTGGGGGTTTCACTCTGTGGCATCTTTATAGAGTAGGGGGGAGTGGCATAGCTCCCCCAGTCCCATTTCTCCCTCAGCATGGACAAGAACAGAGCAGCTTTGGCTACCGCAGGAAGAATTGAGGTCAGACACGAGAATGAAATGTCAAGGGCAGGGGGGTTCTCCCTCGGAAGGGGTAGGACAAGGCGTCTGAGGGCAGAGGTCAGCTGGTGTGGGAGAGCGGGCTAGATCCTCCAGCACCCTGCTCCCTTGCCTGTCCCTCCCTGATTTCTCTGTGCTGACTCCAGAGAAATTCTTGGCACTCAGGGCTGTGCCCCCTGGTTGCCCAGGTGCCTCCTGAGATCTAACCGATACCTGCAGAGGGCCGCGAGGGTGCCGCTGAGAAAGCGCTAGTCTGTGCCGCTCCCATGGACAGGCTGGAAGAGAAGGCCCTGTTGGGTGGCACTGCCTGACAGCCTAGATGTTAATGACCCGGGGAGGCCTGGCCGGGCAGAACTGGGATAGGATAGGACTGGGGTAGGGTAGGACCTGGGCATCAGCTGGAGGCCCTCTTCACCCTCTTGGTAGCAGCCCCTGCCCTTGTGGCAGAAGCAGAGACTCTGGGAACCAGAGACTTCACCCACTCCCCACGCTGGTTGAGCCAGGAGCAAGGGTACCAGGCGCACCTCGAAGATGTTCCAGTCAGCTGTGTGAGTGTGGGCATAGGGGAGGGGCTGGGAGGGGACAGGATGGGTGTCGGCCAGCACCTCCAACACCTCCTGATTTGCATTACCACCGACACCCTTCTTGACCAAGTAAATGGAGCCAGAAATAACAAGGGGGGGAAGTGGTTCCGGGGGAGGGGTCTTTGATGCTGTCTTTCCTTGCTTCCAACGTTCCCATGGGGCTGAGGGCAGAAGGTCATGCCTTTTGCAGCCACAGCTGGCTCCTCGCAAGGGAGGCGCGCCCGCTGTTGCTCCTCCCTCCTCAGGCTGGGCAGACACCCTGTGCCAGCCTCCAGGTCGCCCAGGCCCAGGCACCTCAGCCCTTACCACTTTCCTTCTTCAGAGTCTGCTCCACACATCCTTTCCTCCACGGAGAACCTGTCCCTGGGGCCCCTCTCCCAGCTGTGACCACCCCAGCTCGGTGTCCTGCTTCCAATGTCAGATGGGGCATTTCAGAGGCAGGGCCCTAACTGCCCCTCCCAACCTGGGAGTCACTCAAGGGGAACATTCTGCATAAGAAATAGTCCAAACAATAGCAGGGAAACTTGTGAGTTGATTCTAGAACTGTCACGAAGTGGACCAGGGTCTGGTGCGGGACCTTGGCCCTAGGGCCATGGGCGGAAGGAGCAGAGGACTCCCAGCTCTGTTAGAGTCTCCTGGTGCCACTTCTCTTCTAGGAGTTCCCAGGCATCAAGGCTCTTCCGTGCAAGATCCTTGGAGAAAAGGACCAGGACTGTTCCATTTTGATGTTTTCATCCCCTGTCCCAGTGACTATCACCCAGACGCCCCCCCCAAAAAAAATCCCTCCACATTTGGTGTTTGATTTATGTGCCTTTAATTGATGTCTGTCCCAAAGAGGGCAGGGAATGGTGCCGCAGCCATGGCTGACAGGCGGGAGATGGGAGACATGAAGGGCCGAAGGGATGGCAGCTCGCTGGCCGCCTAAGGGGTCCTGGTCCCTGGGAGAGCAAGGTGGTGAAGGCGGTGGCAGAGCAGAAGGGCCTGGCAGGGAAACCAGGTCGCAAGAGACAGCCAGAGGGCTGTGAACGCACTGTGGGAAGGAGCGAATGATGAGCTGAGAACTTCCCCCCCTCCAGAGATGCTATTTTGGAGTGAGAGAATATATGCAGCGCAGGGCGCGGGTGAGGGGAGCCTGCCGCTTCCACAGGGGTCAGCGGGAGCACCTGCTGCCTCCACTCGGCCGGCCAGCCCTCTTCATTGGCCCTGCTACCTCCTCCGCCCCAGTGCTTTCTCCACACTGGGAAAATCTCGCTCCCCTGAGCCTAAGAGAAGAAAGAAGGAGTGAGAAGGTTTGCAGCTGGCCTCTTGGCACCCCCTTGAGGGTCCTCTGGGACCTCAGACCTACAGAGAAGCTTCTATTTCCATTACTTCCTTGGAATAAAAATCTGGATTGTACTGTGGGGCACTGGGTGAGGCTGGCCCTGGGTACCCCTCAATGGGCCTGAGCACTTCTTGCCCCTGACTCCATACTTAGGCCCTCTACAGGGATTTCCTTTTAACATCAGCCTTTGGAGGGTATTTAGTGTTAAAAGAGGCCAGGCAGAAGGTGCTTCCAGGGTTAGCTGGGTGGGCTCACAGGAGGTTCCGCCCCCTGGCGGGGGCAGGGGTGGAGCCAGTCTTATCTCTTTGGGCCAAGGAGGTTGGACAGAGGTCAATATGGAGTAGAGCCCTTGCTTGGCATGAAGGGAAATTCCTGTGCCGCAGCTGAACCCCTCTGAGGGGCCCTGACTCATTTGGGGACAAAGGCTCCAATGCCCTGTGGGTTTTTGTGGTGGCTGGGGGCAGGGGAGGGCAGGGCGTACAGATAGCACTGGGGATGAGTGGAGACTTTTGTTTTCGTTTTTGGAACTTAGCTCTTTTGCTGCTGGTGTCCAACTTCACCTGAAGGACTTGGCTGAGAGGGGAAGAAGGCCCAACGTCTAGCCAGCGAGGCGCTGGGCATGGCCACAGTAGGAGGAACATTAGGTTAGACTTTAGGGAGAGCTTCCGGTGATGACGCTTGGGCACATTTCTGGGCTGAACCAAGACATCTGGTTCCCTGGGTGCTTCCCACAGTAGATCCCT